TTTTAAAATTTAATAATGCATTTTTCGTCAGTAGATATAAGAAATAAAAAGATCATGTGTTTGATTTTATGCATAATTTTATCATCACAATCAATCGCCGTTATCCGAACATCATTGTACCGATAAATCAATATAATAGTCTAACAGTAGGATAAGTCTATTATTATTATTATTATTATTATTATTATTATTATTATTATTATTATTATTATTATTATTATTATTGTTATTATTATTATTATTATTATCATCGTCATCATATACGCCAATCACATCATTATTATCATATCATCATAATCGTATCGTATCATATAATTCAGCATATTTTATCATACGTCATTTATAATATCATACCGTATCGTATCATATATGATATATCATATTATATTATGATTATATATACAAGATGATCAAATACCATTTTAACCACATTACTTCTAAATTAATTACAAAATTATTCATACAATAATTTGTGTAGATGAGATTCTTGCCTATTTATGTTCGTCATATGTTCGTACTTTAAAGTCATAAAAATCCAACAAAAAATCCTGATATGTACAATAAGTACGACTATTTTTTTAGCTTATTTGTTTCATGTTAAAGAGAAGCAAAAAATAAGGTTTAATTTAGCAAATGGGAACACGAAGTGCAATTTCGATGATTAGATAATTGCAGTGCTCTGGTGATAACTTCAATAATAATAACTATGTCAAAAGTTAACAGTGGCAGTTATATTCGATCATGTTTCAGTCATGTAAAGCAACCAGATATTTATTTGTAATCGTAGGGTTTAATTTAGCAAGTGTGAATACGAAGATCAATTTCGATGATTACCGTAAATAATTGCAGTGCTTTTGTGATAACTTCAATAATAATAGGCCTAATGCACAAAGTTAACAGTGGTAGTTACATTTGATTATTTTTGTTATATTATTATTTACGGGTATTTGTATACAGTAATAGGTCTATATGAATATTAAATCCGGAATAGAGGAAGAAGGAAACTTATTATAATCGATTTCATTATAATCTTTATCATCATAATTGTTATTAATTATCATTATAATCATCATCGTCACCATCATCGTCAATTGTCATAGAAATGATGATGATGATGATGATGATGATGATGACGACGACGACGACGACGACGATGATGATGATCATCATCATGATCTTGATAATCACGATCATCATCATCATCATCATCATCATCATTTATCACCACTATTAGTTGTCATGATTGTTTTGTCCTTGTTTTCGTTATCGTTGTCGTCGTGTTGCCGTTTTCAATCCAAAAATTCCACAGGCAAATCTGAGACAACTACACAACTATTGGTTCAAATCCAGTCAAACACCAGGAATGGTTCTTCCCGGAGTGTCAATCTAACTTAATAATTGACCAATCAGAACCGGCCCATGAATACACGTTTGTCCAAATAACGCACTTGTTATGTACGTTTACGCCGTGGGACCTTAGCAACAATATCCAAGGGGCCGGGCTTAGTGAAAAGTTATTTTTTTTTTCTCACGACTAATACAACTTCACTCCCTGACGCCTCAGAGGCCTACTAGACCTAGGTTTGTTAAAGTGTGATGTGTATTGCATTCTTCTATCCTGTAATTTACAAATGAGGCATAATCATTCAACCCTTTTATTGAGGAGTTGTAAATATTGCACTTGAGATTTTTCAACAAATTATACCATGTTCATTTAAAGCCTGGCAATTTCTCATGGATATCCTATATCGAAGGATTCTGTCTGTGTTTTTGTTATTAGTCATATTCAGGAGCGGATCCAGAGATGTCCGAAAAGGGGGGGGGGCCAAATTTGGGCAGATCCAGACAACACTGAAATAGGAGGTCCGGAGGCATGCCCCGCGAAATTTCTGTGTTTTAGACGCCCGAAAATAACATTTGAGGCGTTCTGGGCTATCGTTTTTTTCTTTTTCTTTCTTCCTTTCTTTTTTCCCCTTTTTTTACCTCTCAAAAGGCGAGGGGGCGGGGCCGGGCCCTCCCTAAATCCGAGACAGATTGTTTGTTGGGAGAAATAAAAAAAGTTAATGTACTCTGCCAGAGAATTAATTATTATTCTTACCCGTTTCACTTGATCAGGGCTAGGCCTATGCAGTGGCGGATTCGAGTCCACCACCTTTATTTTTGAAAATAAGACAAATAATGGGGAGAAAAAATAAAAGAAAACTGTATTGAAATTTAAGTCTGAGTGTCATCTAGAATTGCCATAATCATAAAATTTCTTACCTCAGCCATGGTGGTGGGGAGGTGGGTGGATGGACCCTCTATCCGTGAAAGTCCCGCTATGGGCCCCTTTATTACAAATTCCTGAATCATAGTATGTGAATTGTATTTCTCTTTATAGAATAATTGGTAATCGTATGTGCACTCCTTTTTAATCATCGTGTCAAAAGTCTATGTCTCATCAATCGTTATTCATCAAACTCTAATCGAAGGAAATACAATTCGCTACCATCAAATCTGAATATATAGCAATATGCCTGTGGGTTGGTGTTGGTGATGGCTGATATACGACAATCACATTTATTATTGAAACGAGGAGGCTATAGGTCATATTAAACTATACTGATGATTTATAACGAAGACATAGGCCTAATACTGTACAATGCTGAGAAAGGCTTAGTGAGTGCTTTTAATTCAGACGAACGCCCACGATGTGTTACTCTTATTTCAAGAAAATAGAGTTAGACAAATAACTTTCTTTGGCCATTTGATCATAAAAATGTATTTCATTTCTTACCTGGGTACGTGACTGTCTTATCTGAAACAGTGACTGCAGCAGTAATAGCGAATGCAGCTACTAACACGGTATATCGTACATAATTCATATTTGTATAAGCAAGAAAGTCTTCGTCCGATTAGCCTTGTAGGTAATGTCTGGGTGGCTGATCCCGAATCAAGAGCAACACTAATTTTTATAAATTTCCGCCTGAAATAAATTCAAAAGTATTATATTTAGGTCAGGGAAGGTCAGTAGGCCGCGCAACACGTTTGGCTTTCCGTTTTTAAATTCTTGCTCTTTAAAACACTGGGGACGTTCCACTATTTCCTTTAATATTTTCCAATTCGATACGCTAACCATGTATAGGCCTACTCTGAACGCAAAGACTTTTAAACTGTGCTGAACGTATGTTCATATGCGTGGTTCAATTTCAGTGTCAGCTTTTCCCGAGATGTGCAGAAAATGCAAGTGACAGTAAATCTCGACAACAACCAATCGATGAGGAGGGGGTCTGACGCATGCGCATATTCACAAACACAAACGCTCTGTTGTTAGAGGATCCAATCAAACCAGTGATGAAAGCTTTGCACAGATGGTGATATTCGACCAAAAAAAAAAGCTAAAATCGGTAATTTTTTAATTACAAATAAATAAATAATAATAATAATAATAATAGTAATTGTGATGACACAGTTAACGTCTCAACAACTTGGGGTAGTCCTAAGATCACTGTGCAAGGAATATATTGTTTCAATCTTTCAGTCTCAAGGCCAATTTCCTCATACCATAGTACAGATGAGATGCGTGCAACTAGAAAGATAATAGCAAAATAGCTCCGTTAGTCAACTTTAATACATTTTTTATGCATTAAACCAATAATAACTTTAGCTTACTGCTTACGTTTCAGTTGCTATGTCGACGAATGTTGATCGCTCAATGAAGTTAAGTTGCATTGATTTTTTCTCATTACTTTTTTTTAAATTACATTTTTCTTAATATAAACAAAAATATATAAAATCGATATGTACAAGGTTTCCTAGAGAGGTATACTGTACTTAAATGTTGAGAGTTGTTTTGGTCTGGTAACCGTAGTTTTACTTTATCCTAACATTAGCGATGTATTTATATGTTTATTATATAACTATAAACGATGTTTATTACGGTACCGTATTACTAAATAATGCTAATTTGCTCCCTGTTTTTGAAATAACGGGTCCGCTCCAGGGTCTATATAAATTATAGCAAGAGTTAAACCTAATGGATATATACAGTACTGTGGATATGTGTGTCTATGTACGTACTTCCTAAATGTGAATTACTGACAATAAAATTTTAAAAATAACTTGTACAATTGTTTGGATTGTTTCCAAGATTTGGAACCGTAGTTTTACTTTATCCTAACATTAGCGATGTATTTGTATGTTTATTATGTAACTATAAACGATGTTTGTTCCTGTATTACATCCTTAATAGGGAATACGTGCGGATTATGTCTGTTTCTAAGTACGTATTTTGTAAAAGTGAAGAAATTGTTTGAATGATTCTCAGAATTAAGGAGCATATGTATATCATGACATTGGCGTTGTACACTTCTTCTTTTTATAAGAACACATTTTATAAGAACACTGAGGCTGAACAAAAAGTTTATTCGTTTACTATAACTCTATGTTTATCATTAATTAGGTCTACATCCTTAATAGGATACGTTTCCCGTTCGCAAAAAAGATACAGTAAATGAGTCACCACCATAGGTATAATAAATAATCATCATGAATGTTTGGAACATAGTGACGTATGCAAGCAGAAGCTTAATGATTAATGATTGTTGAGAGTGTTTCCCAAAAGAGATATTCTAACTTATATGTACCGAAAACACAATCTGTCAGGTGCATGGTGTGTTTTGCCTTAAACGATCATATTTAAGCAACACACGTTTGTTACCGTGCAACGACTGTTACTACAAATTAGTATAATCTGTATTAACAAGGTGGCACGGTAATGAACGTGACGTTGCTCTGTATGATATAAATCTAGTAAGCAAAACAGAAAATATATAACAAAGGACTTAAACCAAACAGCTTTACATTTTACTCATAGACCTATGTTAGAAAACGGTGGGATTAAAACATAGGGTTGGTACTTTTTAACTATATAAAACTATGATAATAAACAATACGAATACAAATTCGACAAAATGTATATATTAATGTAAAAACGAATTATCTGGAAATACGTTGAGGTACGCGAAAATACCGTATTTTTGTGGAAAGCCTATTGTAGGGTATGGTAACTCAGAAGAATGACAAACGTGAGGCCATAATATATTCTACGTTTCGTTCATTATTAGAACATTGTCAAGAATGACGACCATTTATAGTATAACAGTATTGGCCCATGTAGACGGCTTCGAGTGAATATGGCGAGATATATATGTTTTAAGCTTCATAGAATCAAATGTAATTGTGCATATTTCAATTTAGTTATTATATGGCAAAACATTTTTAGTTGGTTATGAGTTAAATTGTTGTGTTTCGTATTCGTGTTGTTTAATAGGCCCTATTGTGTTATCATAATAGGCCTACGTGCTTTATTTAAAAAATCGTTTTAGTTATATTTTAAATTTTGTATTACTATTCGTTGCATGTGTGTAGGCATAATCTTTTTCGAATAAAAATAACTTTACACGAATAATCCCTCTGTTTCTGATATTGAATTAGGACTAGTACAGTCAATAGTATATGCGTCCCCTCTAAAAAATGCGTTCATTTTCGTCAATTTTCTTTTTTAAAGTATAATATTTTAACATTTTTCTGCTCATATTGTGTGCGCATTTCAAAATAAATATTACACAACATTTTAATACCCGACTTTAGTTGCTTGGTATTTTTTTTGTTGATATTTTTAGTTTTTAAGTATTTTGATGTATTTTTTTCTGAAATTTTGACGTACCGGTAATGTTTTTGGCCTATTTCTTCGATCCTGAGGTTTTGAATAAATTGAAATCGAAATATAGTTCTACATACAGTTACAGAAGTGCTATAAACGGGAAGTATATTTTTTCAACGTTTAGTTTTCAAACTAGGCCTATGCTTTTATCAATCGCTGTTATTTCATCCGATTTTTGTTATCAATATCGAAAATCTATATAGAGTATCAGGTGTTTTGTTCAGAGGTAGACCTATAAGCTATTCAAGAGTATCGTCAATCTCAATCGTTTAGATGAAAGATGACAGTCTAAAATATTTAGTATGCCAACGCTTTACAATTAAACTGAATAGTTTTTGGTAGAAATAACTTTGATAATAAATAGCAAAAATATTCAATTTATTGTAGTTTAACTGCGCTTCTATTTAATTGTCGTCTTCAAACGGCCCAGAGGTCTCATCAGCAAAAGAAGCACAGTAAAGTTCAACCAAGGTTTAACAACCTCGCTATAATGGTTGTGTTATTAATCTCTCTACATTGAATCATTTTATTTAAATGATTAAAAAAAAAAACAAGTACGGTAGAGTTTATACATTGAGTGGTTCAATGTAAATAGTGTCATCAGAAAGTTACAGGGTTGACGCTTGTGCGTTTGCTCTTCTACCTTTCAACGTGTAGGCCTAGAGACAGGCCTCCGTTGAACTTCTTGGAAGTGCTGTTGTTATTTCAAAATTATTTTTTTAGATAAAAATACTGAAATCTTACTCGCCAGGCTAACTGTTTGTATTGAGGTGAAGACTATTAAGTGGGTGGAATTCAATGGTAAATCTAAATAACATTTTGTAACAGCGTGTACACTCATTTTGCTATTTAAATGTATTTTCCTGTTACGTCCTTGTGAAGCATAAGCAGGAAATCATTGATAGTGGCCTACATAAAGTTCCAAAGTTCAAAAGAAAAAAAGTTCCAAAGTGCAAAATAGCGCCATATGATTGCATATATAATACATTAGGCCTATAAAATAATGTTAATGTAGTTAAAAATACAAAATATAGTTATACTGTAAGAGTTACCGAGTTTTATGATCTTTATTAACTCACGAGATGGATGATTATGTACGGTAATTATTTAGGCATATGTATGCACAACGTAGTAATTACTTAGGATTCATTATATAAAGGACTACAAATTATTTTCGAACGCGGTAATTACAGTACAATGAGATGCATAACACTTACTTATTCTCCGGATAATGTAATGTAATATATAGGTGTAATTTTGCCCAGCCTGAGGTGAAAATGTACTGAATACTCATGTACGTTTTGAAAAAACTTGAGAAAAAAAATCGCAAGTTGTTCTCGGGTGGGACTCGAACCCATTGTCTTCAGATCCGTAGTCTGGCATCATACCTCGAGACAACCGAGCTTGCGCCTAATGGCCAGTGTTGAATTCGGGGCCAAGTACCGGTAATGTAATGGTCATGCATTTGGTATTGCCCCATTCCAGAGGATACAAAGGTTATAGAATCAGAAAAACCCCCCAATAAATCCAAAAGTGATGGTTGTTTTAAGTACCAACCAAAAAAAAAGTATTATTTTTATTACACAATGAATGAAAACAATGATGCTTTATAATAATAATAATAATAATAATAATAATAATAATAATAATAATAATAATAATAATAATAATAATAAAATAAATAAATAAATAAATAAATAAATAAATAAATAAA